GCATTGCCGGACAGGAGGCGCCTGCAAAACGGCTCTTCGTCTTCATCCGCACACTGATCCAGCGAGATCCCGATGTGCGGCAAACCAAGGACATCCGCCGGGTGGTCTGGCGGCGGCTGGAGATGTGGCGGGCCGGGCTGGTGGAGGAGCTCTGCGAGGCTGAGCGACTGGACCATCAGCTCGCCACCACTCAGCCCCCTCTTGACGACGAGTCCGTCTACCGCATCTTCAACAGACTCATGCTGCAGGGCAAGATCCGGACGGCCGTCCGCTTCGTCACAGAGAAGGGGGGGCGGGGGTGTCCTCCATCCGTCCGCTCAAGCTGAGAAGCGCCCACCAGGCGTCACACTGCTCGACGTCCTTCGCGAGAAACACCCACCGTAGCAGCAGCCATGCGAGGAGGCCTTCCTTCCCTGCGACTCCCTCCCTCCCCTTATAGACGTGGACATCACTGACTCAGCGGTGGAGCGCACTACACGAAGCCTGAGCGGGAGCGTTGGGCCGACTGGAGGCGACGCGGACTTCTGGCAGGGGCTCCTGCTTCGCTTCGGCGCCAAGAGCGGCCGCCTTCGCTCGGCAGTGGCGTCTCTCTTGTCCGCCCTGGCCAACACCATTGTTCCCTGAGACGACATCAAGGCTCTGCGGTTGTGCCGCCTCATCGCACTCGACAAATGCCCGGGGGTCCGCCCGATTGGCATCGGAGAGGTCCTCTCTCGCCTGGCGGGGAAATGCACGGCACTGGCGACTCGACCTGACCTGGAGACTGCGGCACCGATATCGCAGCCGTGCGGACCTTCCTGTCGGCAGGAGACGCTAGCGAGCGGCGCGTGCTCCTCTCCCTGGACGCCAAGAACGCCTTCAACACGATGAGCCGGCAAGCCATTCTCGAGGGCGTCGAGCAGTCGTCCCTGACCTGACGCAGTACTTCCTGCAGTGGTACGGCGACCCCGCGGAGCTGTGGTTCCACCATGATGGCGGCTTCATACGACGACTGCAGAGCCAGGAGGGCGTGCAGCAGGGCGACTCGGGGGGCCAGCGTGGTATACCTGTGGGCTGCATGGGGTGCTGAAGAAGCTCAGAGCGGCGCTGCCAGGTCGGCTAGTAGTCGCCTTTGCTGACAACATCTTCATCGGGACGGTCGAGGATAAGGTGGCGGAAGACTTCAGTGTGGCTGACCGAGAGCTCGCGCGTGTGCGGCAGCAACTCGTGCGTGAGAAGTGTGAGGTGTGGGGCGAGCACTTCACCAAGGGCATGGCCCGGCTGGCGAACATGCCCGAGGGTGTGTGTATGTGCGGGACGAGGGGTTGATGGTGCTCGGCTGTCCATTCGGCACGATGAAGTTCATGCAGCGACACTTTGCCAAGAAGCTCAAGCCGACCAAGCACCTGCTGGACCGCCTCCCCCAGCTGGAGGATCCGCAGAGCGCCTACCAGCTGCTCCGCCTCTGCGCCACGCCCAAGTTCCACTACCACATCCACACCTCGGCCCCCTTCGCCCCCCCGCTGCACGAGGCCGCCGACAAACACACAGGTGCCCTCATCCAAGCCGCCTGCACCCTCTTCTCTCTCGGCGACATCCGGTCCAAAACCATCCGCCAACTCAAGCTGCCGCTGTTCGAAGGAGGGTTTGCCCTGACCGACATGGCGCGGATCGCACCGGCAGCCTACTTCGGCGTGGGTGCGGTGGTGTTGGCTGACGTGCTCGCTCGCCATGAGGGCGCGGCGTGGATGCCGGCGAATGGGCAGCGGGGCTGGAAGCACTGCAATGGGTGCAGGATCTGCAGGCAGCTTACGACCACCTCGTCGCCGTCTACCCCCCTCCCCCGCAATCCGACCCCCTACCCGACATCCGCAGCCTCATGCTCCGCCTCGCCGGCGGCCTGCAGTCAAAGCTGACCCACCGCATCCATCAGAAGGAGTCCGCCTCCCTGCAGGCGACCCTGGACGCCATGCGTTTCGACGGCCACCGCGGGTGGGCGACGCCCGACGGCTCTCGCCTGCAGAGCTGCAAGGGATCGGGGGCGTCAGCGTGGCTGCAAGCCATCCCCTCGTGCAAGGAGACGACCCTCTCCCCCGAGACCTTCGTGTTCAACGCGCAGTGGTCCCTCGGCCTGGTGAAGACACCGACGACATGCGGAGCGTGCCATCAGCCCTGCGACCCTCACGGCGACCACATGCCCAAGTGCCTCAACGGCGCCTACCTGACCGATCGCCACAACGCCGTCAAGGCGACCGTATACCGCATCTGCAAGGAGGCCCACTGCCCCAGCGTGAAACAAGAGCAGCCCCTGCGTGACTACCTGTGTCCATTCCCGCAAACGACCGATGACAAGAAGCGGATGGACCTGGTGATCACGCAGATCGACGGCTCGAAGCTCATGGTAGACGTCGCGGGCACCCACCCTACACACGCCGACCATCCGGGCGAGGCCAAAAATCTTACCAACCAGCGCCCCGGCACGGCCCTGCGACTCAGGGAGGCTGAGAAGAGGTCAAAATATGCGGTTGCATGCGCACGGGGAGGGTTCACGTTTTTGCCGTTGGTTTTTGAGTCGTATGGCCGCTGGTCGCCGACAATGGAGAAGTTTCTGCACAAGTTAGGCAAGGCAGTGAAGGAAGCACACTTCAAGGACGACAGGGATTTTTCGACGGGCCGCATCGTGGCCCGTTGGTGGATTCTGTTGTCGTGTGCAGTCAGGCGTGAGGCTGCCGCCACAGTGCTCGGCAAGAGTGAGGTCGGTCCAGACGTGCGCCCCTTCCCCACGGACGAGATCTGAGGGAAGGGCCCTTTTGCCCCACACTGAACTCCTCATCCACTCATCGGCATCGCTATCTGCCTTCCTTGCGTGAGTTTTGACTTTGTTGTATACTGGCGTGTGTCAAGGGGGCCTAGCTGAGCGGCGGACTGTCGTGTGTCTGTGTTTCTGCGCGTGTTCGCGTGGATGTCTGTGTGTCTGCGCGTGTGTGTCTGTGTGTGTGTGTCCGTCTGTGCGCGGTGCGTGTCTATGTGTGTGTGCGTGGGATTGTACGTGTAAGCGCATGTGTCTGAGAGTTGTGTGTCCGGGTGTGCGTGCGTGTGGGTGGCGGGCGTCTGTGTGGGTTTCTTGAGGTACTGTTCTGGGGAGAGCTTTGTGTGTGTCCGCATAGTGGCTGCTAGCCGCCACTCGGCTCTCCGCTGCCGGAGAGCGGAGTGGCGCCTGCGTGGCCTCTTGCGGGCACACTTATCCATCCCTTCACATTTGTGTCGAGGGCGTATTTGTGAGTGTCCGGTTGGTTTGCACTGGCTAGCGTTCATTGCACGCCATACACGTGTGGGGCCGTAGCGTGAAGCGCACGTCACTGGGGTTTTTCAAGAGCCAGATGGCCACCCCACACAGGCCGTCCGCCGGGGTGACGTGCGTGCGATGTTGCGTGTCTGTCATATATGTTGCCATTTGTAGATCTACCCGCCTACTGCTTCTGCCCTCTTGCATGTGCGTGTTGCGTGTTGCACGTTGCATGTTGCCTGTTTCGTGCTGCATGTTCCATGTGGGACAACAAGGAACCAGGCCGTTGGGCCACCTAGGGCTTCCGTGAATCCGCTGCGCACTTGGCATGAAGTGACGATGTCACTCGTTCCTGCGCGTCCTCGAATCGAGGCGCGGCGGGATCTGCCGACGACGCGCACCCGAACAGGGCTGTCTTTTGAACAAAGTCGAGAGGTTGCCATCCTGCAACTGACCTTCGTGTAGCGGATGGAGCTCCCGGCGCCGAAGAGGGACGGCTTTGTGGCATGGGAGAGGCCCAGGGAAGTGCATATCAGGAGCGACTCGGCCAGATCTACAGCGACAGTCCTGCAAACGACCAGGTATCGCGGACGGCTGTGGGTCTTGCTTTGAAGATCTCGTGAGTGTGCCCCCTGAGTACCTTTGTGCATGTGGAGCGTGCGTGGGTTCCCGTTGCACGTGTATGGAAGACAATGGGACTAGGCCGATGGCCACCTGGGACATGACCGTTAAACCATTCTCTCGTTTCCAGCCGATCATGCTTGTAATGGGCAGACCAATTTGCACTGACTGGGGGTGTAGACGGTGTGTGCGTGTAGGCAGGCAGCTCGGTACGAACACCACTGAGGCCCCTCGAGGGTGGATTCCCACCTCAGTCTGAGTGCGAGGGGCAGTCAGTCATTCGTCTGATGGCGTGTATTGAGAGGGGGCATCTATCTATCCTACACGTTCCGGTCTGCCGTCCCGACATTGCAGGTCTGTCTGCCTGCCCCTGCAGTGCCTCCCTACCTGTTCATGCTACATGCCTGCATGTGCGTATGTACATGTTGGTCACGAGACTCGGCCACTGCAGCGAGGAGGTGATCGTATGCTGCTTGCAGATCGCCTGCAGATCCCGCACCCAGGCAGCGCCTCCAGCCCCCCCCCCCCCCCGGTCCATTCGCCGGCATCCATACCCGCCCTCGTGGCGGGCAAGCACATCGGCGGCCAGCATCACGGCACCCACACCGAAACAGGCCACTGGCTCACGGCACCCACACCGAAACAGGCCACTGGCGCGATCCGCGCGGTGTCGGTGAGGCCGGACCCCCTCGGTCAGCGGCAGCTTGATCTGGCGGACGGTCTTAGCCTCGATGTCACCGAGGGAAGAGGGGGTGCAGAAGGCTTGGATGAGTACACGGGAGTGCTTGCCGGCGGCCTCAAGGAGCGGGGGGGCGAAGAGGGAGGAGGGCGGATGTGGTAGTGGAACTTGGGCATAGCATAGAGGCGGAGCAGCTGGTAAGCGCTCTGGGGGTCCTCCAGCTGAGGCAGGTTGTCGAGCATGTGCTGAGTCTTCTTGAGCACCTTGGCGAAGTGCCACTCCATGAACTCCGACGTACCGAACGGGCAACCTAGCACTAGCAGCCCTTCCTCCTGCACACACACACACCCTCAGGCATGTTCGGTGACCGGTCCATGCCCTTGGTGAAGTGCTCGCCCCATACCTCACACTCTTCACGCACCAGATGCTGCAGCACACGCGCCAGCTCTTGCTCGGCCACATCAAAGTCGTGCGCCACGTGTTGCTCGACCGTCCCAATGAAGATGTTGTCTGCAAAGGCGACCACCAGCCGGCCGGGCAGCGCCGCCTTGAGCTTCTTCACCGACCCGTGCAGCCCACAAGCGTATCACGCCGGCCCCCCGGAGTCGCCTTGTTGGACGCCTTCCTGGCTCGGCACTAGGCGCGTACCTCCTCCTGCGTGGTGAAACCATAGCTCCGCTGGATCGCCGTACCACTGCAGGAAGTACTGCGTCAGGTCAGGGAGGAGTCGATTGACGCCCTTGAGACTAGCCTGCTGGCTCATCGTATTGAAAGCGTTCTTGCATCCAGGGAGAGGAGCGCGCGCCGCTCGCCCGAGGCGCCGGCCGACAGGAAGGTCCGCACGGGCGCGATGAGCTTCTCGGATCCCGCCGGCACCCCCACCGCATACTGGCACGGGGCCAGCTTGGCCTCCAGCTCGGCTGTCTTCTCCTGCACCATCGCCCGTGTGACCCAGCGGCGGATCGTCTTCCCGATGGCGATCGGCCGGACCCCACTTGTGGTGACCGGACCCCACCTGTGGTGACCCCGTCGTCGTCCGTCCTCTCGAATGCGCTCAGGCGTGCCGCGGAAAGGAAGGGAAGGAGGGAAGAGGGAAGGGGGGACGCGTGAGTGAACGAGCAGTTGACCAAGTTGCGGAGTGGCACCTGAGGCTTCCAGCTATGGATCGCGCGGAGGTGCTGATATGCTCATATCGCCACCCCTCCCCCCCTGTGCCGCACCTTTGGGGGCCGTCTTGAGCGCATCCAGGAGGTGCTCGTCGTCGGGGTCGAAAACGGGGCGTGGCGCGTTGTTTGGGGGCTGGGTGGGGGTCGGGTCGGGCGGGAAGGGAGCAGGAGGGTGGAGGGCCTTCAGCTTCTCGAGGGTGTCGTTATTGTTGGGTAGGATCTTGGCAGACCTCGTCCAGATCGATTGAGGGCGCCAGAACAGCGAAATCACACCAATAAGACCACTACCACCACAGGGACCGCACATGGGAGCCGAAATTCTTCAGCTTTCCAATTACGAATGGACACATAACCAAGCCTCCACATCTCATTCACACCCAAAAGCTCCTCTACGCAGATAACATTCGCGCCATTCTCTGGGCCGCAGATCAAGCCATTATCCTTTCCATCGGTAGAGTCCCAGGCAAAACAAGTCACAGGCCCAGACACCAATGAATCACGAATTAAGAAGAGAGCCGTAAAGTGTAATCAAGGGTAGCCTGACAGCCACAGGGTCAAGCCGAGAGCCTCGTGTGCCAAAAAGCCACACCTGCGCTCAACTCGCTCAGTGGTTGAAGTGGCACGCCCCTGATCCAAAAAGAGAGAGAGAATAAGAAGACATCGCTGCTGAAAGGCTCCAAGGAACATTCATGGATTCTGAACTGTCTGTCTGGTACATCATGTGAGGGGTAGCGGTTTCAGGCAATACCCTAGGCGGCCTGACGGTCAAGTCCCATGTCTGTCCATCCCAACATGCAACATGCACCCCAACATGCAACACGCACACGCAACACACAGCACGCAAAGGGCAGAAGCAGCAAACAGGTGGAGATGCAATGCGCTGCCAACGACGGCAACATAAGAGCAGGCACATAACGTCAGACGCACGCCACCCCAGCGGGCGGCCGGCCGGAAGGGGCGGCCCGAAGGCGGCGTGCGTCCTGCACCATGACTCCATACGTACATGCCGCCCATCCCCAGCTGGCCAGCCAGTGCCGATCGACCAGTCACACACAAATATGCCCTTGACATGAACACACACGGGGTGATGAGGCTGTCCGAAAGCGGAGCGCGCCGCCGCTCCAGTCTCCACGGCGAAGAGGGGGCGGCAGGCGGTCGACGTGCAGACACCCACAGAGCACGCCCGTACACACATCACCGCAGGGAAAACCACAAGGGCAAGCCACACACATGCCAGACGCAACCGGACGCCGTGCCGGCACACCCATCCCACACGACACGCCCGCATACGAATACCAATAGCCCAAACGCACACACCCGCACACACACACCCACACCCACACACGCACATTGAAGCCACATGTGTGCGAAAGAAAGGCGCGGCATAGTGTGGCGAGCAAAAGGCCTAGTGGGGTGAATAGGGATCCCTCCCTCAGACCTCGTCTCTGGGGAAGGGACGGATGAATGGTGTAGCGGCCTCACTCTTGCGCGAAGCGTAAGAGCGCACTCACGCCTGACTGCACACGACAAAAGGGCCCACCACCGGGCCACAACGCGGCCCGTCGAAAAATCCCTGTCGTCCCTATAGTGAGTTTCCTTCATTGCCTTGCCTAGCTTGTGCAAAAAGGTCGCCATGGTCCGAGACCAGCGTCCATACGACTCGAAGGCCAAAGGTAAGAACGTGTACCCTCCCCGCACGCAGGCAACGGCATATAGGTCCCTCTTGCATTTCTCGGCCGCGCAAAGGGCCGAGCCGGGCTGCTGATTGGTGAGGTTCCTGGGATCGCCTGGGCGGTCGGCGTGGGTGGGGTGAGTGCCGGTGATGTCAACTATGATCTTGGAGCCGTCATACTGGGTGATCACCAGGTCCATCCGCTGCTTATCGGTCGTTTGCGGGAGTGGGCACTGGTAGTCACGCAGAAGCTGCTCTGTCTTCACGCTGAGGCATCGGGCCTCCTTGCAGATGCGATAGACGGTCGCTTGGACGGTGTTGTGACGACTAATGAGGTAGCCATGGTTGGGGCACTTGAGCATGTGGTCGCCTTGAGGGTCGCAGGGCTTCGTGCACGCCCCACACATCGTCGGTCCCTTCACCAGGCCGAGCTGGAACTGCACGTTTCACACGAAGGCGTCGGGGGAGATGGTCGTTGTAGGGCAGGACGGGATAGCTTGTAGCCACTCCGACGCTCCGGGCCCTTTGCAGCTTTGCAGCCGGGCGCCGTCAGTCGTCGGGTGGCCGGCTTCATCACGCAGGGCGTCCAGGGCTGCCTGCAGGGAGGCGGACTCCTGCTGGTGGATGCGTTGAGTCAGCTTGGTCTGCAGGCCGCCGACGGGGCGAAGCATGAGGCTGCGGACGTCAGGTAGGGGGTCGGATTGAGGGGACGGGGGGGAGTGGGCGAGAAGGTGGTCGTACGCGGCTTGGATCGCTCTCACCCACGGCAGCACCTCCAGCCCTGCGCGCCGGTGCGCTGGCATCCATGCGGCGCCTTCGTGGCGGGCGACCACATCGGCCAACACCACCGCACTCGCGCCGAAGTAGGCCGCTGGCGTGATGCGGGCGGCATCAGTGAGGCCGAATCCCCCCTCGGTCAGCGGCAGCTTGAGCTGGCGGACGGTCTTGGTCTGGATGTCGCCAAGGGAGAAGAGGGTGCAGGCGGCCTGGATGAGGGCGCGGGAGTGCTTGCCAGCCGCCTCGGCGAGGGGGCGGGTGAAGGGGAGGGAGGTGCGGAGGTGGTAGTGGAACTTCGGCGTGGCGCAGAAGCGGAGCAGCTTCTCGGCGCTCTGCGGGTCCTCCAGCTGAGGCAGATTGGCGAGAAGGTGCTGGGTCTTCTTGAGCACCTTGGCGAAGCGCCACTCCATGAACTCCGATGTGCCGAACGGGCAGCCCAGCACCAGCAGCCCCTCGTCTCGCACGCATACACCGTCGGGCATGTTTGCCGGCCGGTCCATGCCCTTGGTGAAGTGCTCGCCCCACACCTCGCACTTGTCTCGCACGAGGTGCTGCAGCACACTCGCCAGCTCCTTCTCGGCCACGTCGAAGTCGTACGCCACTTGGTCCTGCGTCGTGCTGATGTAGATGTTGTCGGCGAAGGCGACCATCAGTCGGTCGGGCAACACCATCCTGATCTTCTCCAGCACTCCATGCAGCCCGCACGCATATCACGCCGGCCCCTCAGAGCCACCTTGCTGTGCCCCTTCCTGGCTCAGCACCTTGCAGGTGTAGCCCTTCTCGTGGTGAGACCATAGCTCCGCTGGCTCGCCGTACCACTGCAGGAAGTACTGCGTCAGGTCGGGGATGAGGCGATCGACACCCTCGAGGATGGCCTGCCGGCTCATCGAGTTGAAGGCGTTCTTGGCGTCCAGACTAAGGAGCACGCGTTGCTTGTCGGATTCGCCGGCCGACAGGAACGTGCGCACGGCCGCGATGAGTTTCTTGGAGCCGGACGCCACCCCAACCGCATACTGGCAAGGGGCCAGCTTGGCCTCGAGCTCCTTGGATTTCTGCTGCACCATCGCCCGAGTGACCCAGCGACGGATCGTCTCTCCCATGGCGATCGGCCGGACGCCGCCCGTCGGAACGCCGTCGTCGTTGGTCTTCTCGAACGCGCTCAAGCGGGCTGCCGAGAGGAAGGGGTGAAGGAAGGGGGGCAGCCGTGAGTGGACGAGCAGATGGACGAAATTGGGGATGGGCACCTTGCATCTTCAGCTGTGGATCGCACGGAGATGCTCATATCGCCACCCGGTCCCTCCCTGTGCCGAACCCTTGGGCGCCGTCTTGAGCGCCCCCAAGAGGTGTTCATCGTCAGGTTCGAAGACGGCGCGGGGTGCGTTGTTTGGCGGCTGGGTGGGGGATGGGTCGAGCGGGAAGGGGGCGGGCGGGTGTAGGGCTCGCAGCTTCGCAAGGGTGTCATCGTTGTTGGGCAGCACTCTGCCGGATGTGAGCGCGTTGGCGGCCCGACGAAGCTCTCCGTACTTGACCAGGCGGCGAGCGCGGCTGGCGCTGGTGGCGGGGGTCGTGTTGCTGCGTCGCCCTGCCCATGCGAGTGCCTCGTCCCGCAGCGCCCTCCAGTCGCCCTCGTCGAAGAGGCGGATACGGGCCTGCCAGACGGTGGGGTCACTGCGCTTGGTGGGGAAGAGAAGCAGCGTTGGAAGCAGGACTACAAGGCGGCACGCGGCCTCGTGGAGCTGCGGGTCCGTGTGGTTGATCATGAGGTCGGCCTTGGTGGCGCGGAGTGCGAATTCGTCCTGGAGCGGCCAGCGAGTGACCGTCGGGATGTTGGCCGTCCTGATGCGGTGCATGTCCCATGTAAGGAGGTCACGGAGGGCATCTTCGGGGAAGGGTGTGGAAGGCTGGTGCGGGGGCGGTGAGGCCCGAGGCTGGGCAGGGCCTCGACTGGCTGGCGGGGGCGAAGGGGGGTTGCCGTGAGGGCCCGGGCCGCCTGAGCTTCTGTTGCGGGGCGCGGAAGACAGCCCGAGTGCTGATGCGTTGCTCCGTGATCCTCCCGGCCCACTCGGCGCTTGGACGGGCGCCAGGAGCGTAGGACGGCTCCCGCGGCAGATGATTGTGGGGTGCTGGTCGGATTGGTTTCGGAGCGTGTACGAGGTTCCTCCGAGCATGCACGAGGCGAAGCTGGGCCGGCAGCAAGGCGGTTGACCACGGCGCGGCGCTGGCTGTCTGGGAGGACGTCGAGATCCTCAAGGAGGGTGGCTCGCTGGCGCAAGGCGTATTGGGCGGCTCGGGCACGCCGCGCGACAGCTCGATCCTCCCGCCAAGCGCGGGTCAGCTCCCGTATGCGACGTCGGGGGTCCTGGCGGGCGCGTTCGGGCGGGCGCTGCCGGGGTGGCGTGAGAGGGCGGTCCTTGGGGTGCATGTCGACGTCGTCAGGTGCCGCGCACGGGCCAGCGGCAGGCGGGGTGGGAAGCACAGGTAGCGGCGCCGGTGTCGTCGCCCGAGGGGAATCGAGGTCGTCCGAACTGGTTGCGGCGCTACGATATGGCCGCCCAGCCGCTGTCCGCTATACTTGGTGACGACGCCGCCCGTTCTGGCCGCCTCTGCGTCGCTTGGAGCGCTGCTGCTGGAAGGGGGTGGCCGGAATGGGGGTCGCGGGAAGGCAGGTGTTGAGCCAGCGGCGAGAGCGCCGAAGCCCGTGGAGGCGCTGCCGAGCAGCCACGGTGCGTACGCGTCGTGGATAGCCTCAACGGCCGAGGACCGCAGGTCGTAGGCGGTGGCGAGCTCGTCGATCCCCGTGCGCAGGTGGGCCACGGCTGGTGCGCCGAGATCAGCCTCGCAGGTCTCCATGGCCCATTGGTGGAAGTCGCCGGCGGTGTCGAGGGGGATGCCAGCTTCCCGCAGTGCCGAAATGGCGCCAGAGGATGCGTTGCGTGGGGCGGGGAGGGGTGATGAATCGTCCGCCGGGTAGGGCGGGGAGGAGGGCAGGGGGCTCATGGGTGGGAGGGCGGCCGCCATGGAGGCGGCGACGCCTCCCGTGGGAGCCTCGGACGCGTTCAAAGGGCGGCCGAGGGTCACTCAAGTGGGTTAGACAGGGGGTGCGGTGCGGGTTCAGATCTCGACGAAGACTTTTTGGGCGCGCCGACGGCCGTAGAACAGCCCGAGCGAAGCGAGGGCGCCCGAGTCAATCCTGTGAGTCAATCAGCGAGTGAACGCACCTGTGAGTCCATCAGCGAGTGAACGCACCTGTGAGTCAATCAGTGATGTCAGCAAGGGGGGATCAGAGGGGGATCTGCGCACTCCGTTCAGCGCGGAGTTGGCAGGGGGCGGCTTTCAACGTGCCGTTTCAGGCCTACGCGCAGAGGGACTGGTCAAGGACCTCATTCGCCGACGAGGCTCTGGTGGCTCGCAGACTCCAGGCGGGAAGTGGGTTGACGTTCCGTGAAACCGCTGCTGCCAGGCGGGAACGGCAAACTCATTCGCTGCGCCCATATCGGAATGTGTGGGTGAGAGAGGTGGTGAGAATGGTGGAGTAGAGGATCTGACGGGCGGTTAGTCCCGTATAAGGAACAGATCAAAGTGGCCCGCAGACAATCACTTAAGGATAATCATATCCATAGTGCAAAGTCCACACATGGCAAGCATGAATGAATGAGTCCATCCCGTCTTACGTCCTGTCTGTCATGGGCTGTCTGATGGTCTGCCACGATCTCGAAAGACTCACGCATGACGTCCTGTCTCCTCTCCAGTGGATCGTCGACCTACAGTGCGAGCTACGATTCACCGACTTGCACTTCTGACCATGCTTTCCTTCCTACCTGTCGCTGCCGTTTCGTAAGCGTCGTGTTCTGTTTCTTTTTCGTACGGGCTGCTATCCTTCTGCCATCATGCATGGACGCATCCTCGGCCGGCCGAGACAGGGCCGCGTATGCCCCTTTTGCTCGCACAGAACTGACTTGCTCGTATCTGCTGTGAGTCTTACTGGGTAATCTATTACCCACCCTCCCATTGAGGATGAGTCTCATGTCTTTGCATGTTGTCCGCTGTATCGTTCGCTTCGTGACACGCTACATAGAGTCATCGGCCAGCATGGTGTGGCTGCCCCCTGATGCCTGCAACTATCGTCGGTGGCGCAGGTCACATCCCATTGTTTTCACCTGTTGTGTGCTGCAATCGGACAAACTGCCGGTGCTTTCTGCAGCGGCAGACTTTCTTCTTTCAGCACAGGCAACACGCACTGAGTGGCTTGCACTCAATCCGTTCTTGCCAGACAGTCAGACAGCAGCAGAGGATGAATTGGTATATGAACAGTATGTATTGGATCAGTGGGCGCTCGACGTCGAGCTTTCTGAGTAGCCTCTGTGCGTCATGCATACGTACGGCTGTCTTCTCGTACATTTGCAGCCGGTGGTGACAGTGATTTTTCTGACCGTCATGGGGTGGCACGTGCATGTCGAGTGGGTGGGTGGGTGGGATGGGTAGGCAGGCCGTGTGCATGCTCCTATGCGTGTGCATGTTGCTAGTTTAGTGCGTGACATGGACACGATCCCCTCCGGGGTTACAGACACGAGTCTCGTTAAACACAATAACCAACCATCTGACAATCACCCTCACATAGTTGATGGCGCGAGATAAAAAACTGTGCTGTGCTTGCCGTCACGTGTGTAGACGAGGTCGTTCAGCCGTCGCTTCCTGCAATGCAACAGGACGGTAACAACAGGGCCGCTCATCTGCAGGTCAGTCACCATCACCCTCAGGGTAGTCTCCGTCCATTCATTGACTGTTTTGCATCTGTGTGGTCTGTGTGTGATGCAGTCGACATGTGGCGATGATGCCCTTCGTCGGCTCCGAGAGGAGAAGCATCGCATCGACACACTCTACCATACCATAGAAACACAAGTGAGTACAGCACGGTTGGGCCGTCCACTCAAGCAGCGAGTAAAGCACTGAACGTATGTGGTGATGCTTCTGTCGTGTCAGTTGACCGTTGAGCGTGCCGCCTTGACGGGCGGCGATGTGTGTATGGTGCTGGGCCACATGACGCGGGGCGGCGACAGCCTGAAGGAGGCGGCCGACTATCTGAACGGCATAAGTTCCATGACTCACGCACACGGCGGAGTGACAGAGGTACGGGCACACACAGACAAACAGTCCATGATGGACCTGGTGCACTCGGAGGGTTTCCTGCTTTGTGGGGATGCAGCAGGCGGTGTTCACGGAGGTATTCAAGAAGCTGACCGAGGTGTGTCTGACCATCATGGAATTGGGCGAGGCCGACACCTGTGGCACCAGCGACATGATGCACCACACGCTCGACATGAGCGACCCTGAGGTGACCCACCCACCCACCCACCCACCCCCCATTCACAGACC